ATGCAACGCTCCCACTGGGCTTTTAAATGGCTCTTGCTAGTTCTTTGCACATGCTTTCCCACGCCATGTGGCGGTACACTTCTTGCTGCACTAGTATTCTTGCTGCCCTACCCACCCTTTTATCCCATTCTCTGGAGAAACCATGAGCCAGAAACCCTGACTCTTCAGTACTCCAAGAGAGTGAGTAAGGGTTGGATACTTATTTCTTTGTTGTTGTTGTTGTTTTTGCAAATGGCACTTATCAATACAGAAGACAAGAAAAATGCTAACATTTGCAGGGAAGTAGCAGAACCCTTCCTGCAACCCAGAGACCTGCAGATTTCCTAGTCTCTTGAAATGACTAGCCCTGTGTAAACTACAGTAATTGGGGAAGGTGCCAAGCATGTTATTCTCTGCTTCAAAAACTTTCACCTCTCGTATCTTATGCCCTACGTACCTGTAAATCTCCAGTCCGTGTTGTAGCACCCGTTATAGTCATGCCTATGGGAAGAAAGCCAGACATCTCTTTTTAACTGGTTCTCCCCATGACAAGGACTGGGGGTTGGGGTGGGTGGGAAGAGTACTATCTCCTTAGATGGGTTACCCCTGCTGGACCCAATCTACTTTGCCCTTTTGTAAGTGCACTGGATCAAAAAAAATATCTTGTTCTAATGCACTCTCCTACTCAGTGTAATCACTTCTGCCCCCTCTTAATGCCATGGGCAGAACCAAGCCCTTCTGCCTCTTTAGCCTCAGGTTGCATGAACTCATAAGAGGACACCCAGTTGGAGACTTGGTGGGCAACCTGTGTTTAGAGAGCTGAATCGAAACCAGCCGAGCCGGCCAAGAGAGAAGCCCCTAAGTTTTCAGACTTGGTCTCCCTGTTCTATGGTGACACATTTTTCATTTTTGTTTTCTGCTTATCTGTTTGTTCTTGGTGGTTTGGAAAACAGGCAGAATCCCTTGTTGCTCTGGCCCACAGCTAGTTGAATGAGAGCAGTACTTTGAGGAGGAGGGAAGTAGGGGGTGGCGATAGGCCAGGCCTTCTTCCCGTTCCCCAAAGCGGGCTGCCTGCAGTCCCCATTGCCATAGCCACCAGGTTTGCCTTTCATACAGTTCTCTTGCTTCTGGATCAGTGGCGAGCGATGTCTGGGAGTGAGCCAGATTTGGCCCTGGAGCCTCCAGTTGTAGATCCCTACTCTGAAGATTTCCAGGGGTCAAGGGTGGAGTGAGGAATATTTTTAAAGGAAAAAAAAAAGACCACCAGCTTCTCGCTTTCTTCCTTCTGTCTGTTTCACACTTAATTCAAACCAGACTGTGATCACCTTAACGCAAGTATTTTGGCACTTACAACGTTGTTAATGGGTCAGACTTCTCGCCTGAGCCGCTTCTTCTGTGATCAGTCCTTCCTCTGTCCATCTGTTAGCCAGACTTCTTTTTCAATTGTAATGTAATATTATTAGGGGAATGGGGTAACTTTTTTTTTTACTCCCCGCTTCCCTCCCTTCCCCCCCCCCAGTTCCTCTTGTCACTTGGTTTCCGTTGGGGAAAAAAAACAACCCTTTACCTCTTACCTCATTCAAGACGCCGTGGGAAACGTTCTGTGTGGGTTGGGTGCATGTCAGATGTACCATTCGAAGGTTCAGGGGCCGGCGCATGGAGAACATAGCTCCAGTTTAAGCTAATATACATAAATATATATATAAGTATGTATAATTTTTTTTTAATTAAGAAGAAAAATCTTTGTACGGGTCTGTTCACAAAAAAGAAAAAAAAAGAAAAATCACGCAAACGAAATTGGGGTTGGAAGAAAAAAGTAGTGTTTTTTGTTTTGTTTTGTTTTGAATCACCTTTAAATAACATGGAATTCATGGGGTTGTCATTGCTGATCTGATATTGGATACGGCCTGGAGACCCAAATAATAGTCCAGCATGGCTGGGTTATATCCTAGGCTATGATGTTTCCTGGAAGCATAGAATTTGGTATTGGGTGCAGACCTGAGAGTCTTATTTAAAAGGAAAGGAAGAAAGAGAGAGAGCAAATTTCTAGTGCTTATGGCAATAGAGATAAGCTTGAATCCTGGTGAAATACCAAACCAGGAGCTATATGGGATTTCTAATGGTGTAGAGTACAGGACTCCAGTGCAGGAGCAGAATGCATTATGCAAAATAAGCACACATACTGTATGCAGTTTTGCTTAATTATTCTGCTTTTTTTTTAAAAAAAAGAACAGCATTCATTTTCTCTCGATGTGGGATATAGATATTTGTTTTCAAAGTACAGAGCATATGCAGCCCTGGTGGTATTGTTACCAGCTGTTTCCCCATAGAACTGCAGTTATTCTTCACTGAAGTTGTTTGTCTTGGGGGTCTGTAGTTTCAGAAATCTTGCCCAGAAGATGCACTGACTCGTGGAAGGGTTGGGGAGGGGGAGCCTCTGGCAGTTGTTTCTTCAGGGTCAAAAGACTTTTTAGTCCCACAGAGCGGATGGCCAGCCTTGCCAGAACTGTTCAAAAAGCTTGAGGTCTGTGGAACAATAATTGGAAAAGCATCCAAAATGAGGGATTCTGCAGTTTGGGTGAACAACCCGTTAGCCTGGTGTATTCTCCTTATACTTAAATTGTAACACAGCTATCCTGTACATATATGCACATGTCCACCGTGCCCCCTGTAAACAGAAACATAGGTTCCTTCATGCTCACTCAAGCATTTCCAGGTAAAAACACTGAGAAGCAGACAGTTCACATGGGTCCCTATAACTCTGCCCCTTCTTGCTGCAACCCTTCATTTTTTAAACCTCTTATGACCCTAACCAGCTAATGAGCAGACCTTTTATAAACGAGCATTACAGAGATATTTTCACACTTAAAACTGTTCTCTTGTTGCATTAACACTTGTACAGTGCAGTTATGAACTCAATAGAGTGTGTGCGTATGTGTGTGCTTGTATGTGTGTGTGTGCACGTGCGTGCTTGTTTTTGTATTCCGGAACCTACCTTTATACAACTTAGTTTACACTTCAGGAAGTGTCAGTGAAATCAGTGAGACTCTCTTCTGAGTAAACAGACAAAGGATATACGGGCAAGACCTGCATGCATCTCATTGGCATCTCATCCCAGTGGAGGAAGGTGCAAAACCTCTGGAACTTCTGAAGAAATGAACCAAATGCTCAGCCTGTCACCACATGGACCTGTCTTATAGAGAATCAGTCCACTGGCCCGCCTGGCCAAGTAGTTTCTACTCTGGGTGGCCGCAACTCTCCAAGATCACAGGTAGAAGTGTTTCCTATCGTAGCTGCCTGAGAGCTAAGTGAAACGCAGTGCGGGGCACCAGTGAAAATCTTGGTGTTCCTGGGTTCTTGTTTGTTTGTTTCATCGTACAGATCAGAGCAGCAGCCAGAGGCAGGGCCGTATTTCTAATAATCTCCCACCATCTTCTTTTTTCATCCAGAAGAGGAAGAATAGAGAAATTTTAATCTGGATATCCTGTAACAGGAGAGGGCCAGAGCTGAACAAGATATCTTTCTTATGCGACACAGACCCCCCTACTAGTGAGCTGAAACTCTCCTTGTAACAGAAGTACAATTTGCTCTGCCTGGCAGTGGTTCTTGCTTAGTTCCAAACTGGAACCATCAGGTGTCTGAAGTGTGTTTCTGTAGCAGGTTTTTAAAGGGTACGTAATGATAACATACATGCCTCACACACACATTCAGAAACCCAGTACCCTCCCTTCTGGATACCACTCCTTCTTACACATACAGCTATTCCTGCATTAGCCTTAATCTGTTTTTCCACTATGCAAGAACCCCACTTTCACAGAATTTAGGGGTCTCACTTCCTCTCTTTCCCTGCAGCCTTTCTCCCTGCCTGTTTCCAACTTCCTGGAACTACCAGTGATACAAGTCCCACTCTGGCCCTACTCTTCCTGCCACCAGAACCCTCCTCCAGAAGAAAAGAGTCATAACATAAACAGCAGCTTCAGTGAGTTGGACCTCTGTAAGCTTGAGGATCAGACCTTGAATTTCTCCAGTCAAACCCCTGCTGGTTTCCATCCCCTGCTGTGTCCGCCTATCTTAAAATGCATGACATATGAATATATAAAGCTGCCTTACACTGAGTCAGATCGTTGTTAGCCCAATACAATTTAATCTTCCTGGCAGTGGTTCTCAGAAGTCCTGGAAGTTTTTACTGCCCAAGAACTTTTCACTGAAGATGCTGGGAACTGAGTTTGTTGAGGTCTTCTCTACCCAAAGCTCATGCACTGCTGATGACCTATAAGCCTTCCCCAACCCAACTCTTGATTAAATCAGTTCATATTACTGGGATGGTCTGTTTGTCTAGCTTCAGAAATTAAGACCTGCTCCAGAAATTCTCAGATACGTCTCAGACGTTTGCTGTGGAACACAAGGTTCTCTGAATACAGCACAGGATGAACTCACATCCTTGTGGAACGCTCACAAACCTGGTTGGGCTTCAATTTAATGGATGGTTACTTCTTGGGGGGCTTAGCTCCCAGAAACCCTCAACTAGTTTTGCCAACGGACAAGTTTGGGGGATTCTGGAGGGGGAAATTCCCCTGAATTACTG